TCAAGTCGTCCGGTCAAGAATTAATCAACCCTAAATGGCTCCATCAAACGCATTTTAATGTGTCTCAGGTTATCTCTCTTCCTAAAAAAAATGCTTTCTACTTTACTCTACTTAATTATATGTCTAATTTCTTCTAGTTTTGCGCAAAAACGGCTGTTTTCCTCTTCATATATATGTTGTTCTTTGTTTTGTTTTGGTTATTACTCTTTTGGGCTGAATTCGCATTGTTCTATGTTTTATTTAATTTTATTATGTGCTTCCTGTTTTTGTTTTACCTTTTCTATATTATGAAGTCAATTTTTTAGAGAGATTTATTTTTACAACTTTGGTTTTCGGGCCAGTTTGTGTCTGCTCGGTTATTCCATTTGTACCTGCTAGTTCTCACCAGCATAGATATTGGGTAACTATGTCAACAATATCTTATGACAGATAGAAAAAAATCACATAATGTGTTTACCCGGGTTTGGTTGCTTTGCCGGGATAGAACCAGTGCTTAGCAAGCGTCGGTCTAACGACCCCCTTGTATAGGTTGGAGCTACCTAATTATTAGAGATTTTTGCCTCTCCTGGAATTTGAGCCCTGATTTCACATTATGTTCACCTACTTTGACAGCTAGGCCACACTCTTGGATGCAATTTTGGACAAAGATTAAAGCCCCTTATGTGATGCTTACTTCAATTTGTTTATTGTGTTTGTAGTTTGCATGTGAGACTTGACTGTAGCACCTAAGGGCTTAGGAAACAGCATCTTCTTTGTTGGTTATGGTCTTGCTTTAGTGCTAGCACATATTGGATTTTAAAAGACCATACTTCTACCCTTGTTTGTGTTGTATCTTTTTTACTGGAGAATTGGTATTATTCAAGTTTACAAGTCATTTCATTTATATTTTTTCCGATTTCAACAATATTAATGTGATTAATTTCACAAAGCTTTCAACAATTTCTATCTGTAATGGAATCTTCTGGCAATGTGATTGACTTGTTTATCTTACAGAGAATGCCATTTGTGTTGTCTCGACGAGGGATAAACATGGCTGCGCTACTTGGCTCCTATGAGTAAGTATACTTATTTACTTGAAATAGAAGAATGCTACTTTAATTTTGTTGAAGGTAATTAAAAAAGTGCTTCCTATCATAAAGAAGTAAAAAAGAAATAACGAAAGGGGGCACATATGGCTTGTGCTTATAAGAAAATCCAGCAAAAAGCTGTTGGAGATTTTCAAAAATGTCCTTAATGGGCTAAGTTCAACAGTTTGGCCAACCTCTGATCCTCAGTTAGATACTTTGTTCTCTAAGTGAATGCGCAGGAATGTGACTCTGTTTATGCATAACAGAACCAGGCTTTTTGGTTTTATTATATGCTCGAGACAAATTCGCTCACTCTCTTCAGGAGCAAATTTAGCATCGAGGAATACATAACTCGCCTTAAATTTCCTACAAGGGTTCTTCTCTTTTCTAACAAAAGTAGCAAACATTTCTTGCAACTTCTCGAAAATCTTCCCATATGCAAGGATTCAAACTGCAACTGGTTCAATGTCTATCATAAAATTCAAGATTATCCTTTCTCCGTTTATTTTCCATCAGTCAAGTCAGTGTGAACCTGCCAATTCAAGCAACTAGTTTCTAAAACCGGTTGAGATGTGAACCATTTTCTGTTAGTAACTTAAGATCATCAGATGGTTGAATTGATCAACGATGCTTCTCTCCACAATTTAGAGCTATTTGATTACCTGTGAAATGATGTGGCACGTATTGGATCTCTGACACGAGCAATTTTGAGATAAAATGGTAATAATATGGGGTAACTGAACAAGGAAACTTTTGACTTTAAAAGAATAGGTAAAATTCCAAATATTTGCAACCAAAAATACCCACAGGCATTTCAACATCCACCTTAAAGTTTCTCGAAAAAGTTCAATAACCACCAACATTTCTTTCTCACTAATGGTGGATGATTGAATATAAGGGGAAGAAAGTGAAACCGCATCTAGTTAGTCGAGAATTCATAGTTCTATGGGCTGCCCTATGCTTTCAGAACCTTCAATCCCGGGAAGTTATATTGGTATATTTCTTCTTCTTTTTTTCTTTAATACTGAAGTCAAATCAAAAGTAGAAGAAGTGAGTCTCAGGTCACCTATTGATCACCATAGACACAGTAGTATGAAGTAAAACCTGTTCTAACATCATATAATTCTGCTCATGCAACCCTTATTAGGTTCTGAGATCTTATACTTAATTTCTGCAAGAAAACTGTTTGAAGTAGTAGAGTACTCTATTTCCAGCTAACAGGTTAGAACTTTGAGTTACTAAGGAGAAATGTGGGAAAAATACACTACTGATCACAGAGGAGACTCTTTTGGGGGGGGGGGGGGTTT